TCTGACAAACAGGTGAAGCACACATCCTGACCAACGAGAACACCTGTCCCTTCCTTCTGCTCACCACCAGAAAGGATGGCGGAGGCTCGCCACGCACAACTGGTCACAAATGACGGACTACCGCCTTTCTTGCCATCCAGCTGTCCCACTGGCGTAACACACACCAACCGCTCCCTTCCTCAGCTGCCGGAACCGTTTCGAAAAAAAGTTCCTCATCTCCCCCCCCTTCGCTTCCATGCGCCGCCGACTCTCACCTGTTGACCCCTCACACCAAAACATGTCCTCTTCCTCCACCTTCAATCCCGCCAGTAACGCCCTCCCTCCACAATCTCCTCACTACGCACTGAAGAAGATATATCCCGTCCTCCCTCCGTCTTTCGCCCTTCCACACCACACAATGCTCAACAATCCCTCTTCTCTGCCTCCAAGAAAGCTAGGCCTCGCAAAAGCACTCCCTTCTCAACCTCTTCGCCGCGAAGTGCCCGACCGACACCACACTCTTCACGTCCATGCAACGCCCAACGCCCGCTCCAGCAACCGCTTCTTTCCTTGACTCTATATCATTTCAAGCGACAAAAGTCCATCACTCATTAGGGAAAAAGCGTGGAAGGAAATTGCAAAACCAGGACTCCCCACCACACACCGCAACCCCCAACCAACTCAACGACACAACAGTTAAGCCTCGAGACTGCCAAGCTGGGAACTCAGGTACGCCAATTTCTAATGCCCCAGCCCTATTCTTGCTCTAGGAATCAATGTCTCAACGTGGAAGAAACTAACAAGGCCAAGATTTCCCACCACACACCCCAACCCTTAATCAACTCAACGGCGAAACAGCCACGTTTCGACAGCCACGTCTCGAGACTCCCAAGCCCGGAACTCAGGTATGCCAATCTGTAATGCCCAAGCCCTATTCCTGCTCCAGGAATTAAGGCTTCCGTAAAATCTTTTTCAAAAAAATTTTGCACACCTGTGCTTTTATTCTGCTTTTGCACTGACGAGGTTGGGTTTACCCCCAAAATCAAACTCCGTTTGGGGCTGGCGACGCAGTACACCTCCCCGAACAAATGCCAGTGACGCATCCTCAAAGTATTCATAGAACAATTCATAAGGTATTGAATTGTTTCTTTTCCCCGAGAATGTCTCGCTGCGGATGCCGATTCCCGTCTCAAGCACTTGGGGGATCGTGAGGGCCAGCCCACAGGGAAGCACCAGGGTGCTGAATGGTTCGCATTCTCCTCAGCTTTTGGTCATCAGGCAGTCCAGTTCATTTACATTGGTGCTTTCGGGTTTTTTTAATGTGTGGCGCTCCCAGTTTTGAAGCTTTGCAAAATTGGTGTGCAGTTGGAGAGCCGAGACGCCATCGTTTGGAATGGCGGGCGGTCACATCCCCAGATCCTCCAAGCTACTCCCCGCAGTGTGTTGTTCTCGAAGTGTAGTTCATTTATTTGAGGGTGTGTCACTAGTGTTACAGATTGGTCATTTTGATGGCCAAAACTTCCGTTTCTACTGAATTTGCGGTGTAGGCTGGGTTGTAGTGTGCGTTGAGAACGAAGGGACGGGCGGGAGCGGCATGCAGCTACCCAATACTAGGCGTACTGTTTGTTGGCATGTGAGTCGTGTTACGGCTAGGTCATTTAGGCGACCAAGTCGTCTGGTTTTATGAAATTTGGGGTGTGGTTGTTTGCTTTTTCTAAATTTGGGGTGTGGGCTGGGTCGTGCTGTGCGTCGGCAACGAAGAAGCCGGCGAAAATGGCATGCAGTTGCCGAACACTGAACTTGCAAAGCGGCGCTCAGCGGCCAGTCTTAATGGAGTTGCGTAAATCGACATGATGCTAGCGGCAGTGTTGCACTTATGTGGGGCTGGTCTATGAAAAGGGGTATCAACAAATGTGTTCAACACCAGGGCCGATTTCAGGCACCTTGACTGTCTCCACATACTTTTAATGTTTTTTGACGAACTTTCTGCTGAAATTTTTGTTGATATTGGAGGCACAGAACAAACGACGTATTCACCTGATTCTGCGCAGAGGCGATAGTGCGTCCAATAGTGTGTTTCCCAGTTGGGCAGCCCACGCTTCACGCGGACGGCAACAGTAAAGCCGCGACAACTAAACGAGTTGGCGCAGGTCCCATTTTCTCGACGCTGTATTTGCGCGGGTTGACTTTAGATTGATGCGAATGCTGAGATTTAATCCTTACTGAGCATCGTTCAGTCTCTGTTCAGGCGTTGAACGGTGCTGCGTATCTACCTGTGTTTCGATGCATGAAAGCATACAGATGCATTATCGTAGAATACTAGTACTTAAATACAAGCGAAAATGTGTTGATACATAAACAGTCGAGTTGAAAGTCTGAGTAAATACACGTATATACAAATGGACGTCTCCATCTGTGTACGTACTATGTATACTCATATGCTTAATATACATACATACATTTATAGGCATAGCCGCACGTATACTTGTGGAGATGCAAATCTGCGTAGATGTATATGTTCATACAAAAAGAGAGGCAGGCGAATAATGAGAAAACTACAAATTATGAAAAAATCTACAAGTGAGGTCTTCACTGACTTCTTGTCAGATTTTAAATGCTCTCATCGCCTTTTTGCGGCGTTGCTGCTGTAATTCCTCGTACAGTTTTTTGCTGTTAACGACATTTAATTTGTTGCCATTTATATAGACATGTTGAACTTTCCATGGTTGTCATGACACTCCCATTTCTCCCGGGCTTTAGTCTGTTTGCCTCTAATGCCTTTAGACTGCGGTTTGTTGCCTGCTGACACCTTCGTTTGCTGCTGCTACTGCTGCGGCTGCTGCTGCAGTTGCTGCAGCAGCGCTGTGGCCCCTCATTTCGAGCAGCAGAAGTTGCCGCCGCACGTGAGCCTGCAGCCGCACAATGGAATTAATGTGGGTCTCCAAGCTCTTTTTAAGATCCCTGCGGAGGCAGATAGCTTCCAGAGTGCGAACAATTGGCCGCAGCAGTAGCAGCTGCTCCCGCTGTTGCTGCAGCAGCTGCTGTTGCGCTTCTCGAGTCAGGGAAACCATGGTCAAACCCATTCTGTAGTCCTTATATTCCTTCAGTCCAGCCCTTTGCAACAAGGCTAACGCGCCCTCACGTGGGGCCCCTCCGGCAGTGGAACTTCCAAGGAGGCCCCCTGCAATTTTTCCGTAAGCTGAAATATTCAGAAAGCGGGGTTGCCGTAAGAAGTCGGCGAAGGGGCGCCTGGGTAAACACAAGGTGACAAGTTCCAAAACTCAAGAAGTTATCGGAAAGTACACAAAAACTAGACGAAATGCTTACACCGTAGCGTTGCTCCAGCTGTGTCAATAGAAGCACGCACGAAATAAGCCTCCATCTAATCGCTCAAACACATGTTCATGTGCATGCATATGCAGGTATCCATTATGTTTCATACATATGACGGTGGTTCTACAAGATACGAGCCTTTCCATTTGCATGGAATCGTAATATATTCATGCGCATCGATATAGCCATTGGGAGGTATTTTTCGGTTTACAATATACAAATTACCATTTAAGCACCTTAAGCATAATCCGCTGACTATTTCCCAGCGGCAGACATATAACATATATCACGCTGCCCCTATAATTTCCTTTTTCCTAAGACCGAGGATCTACATCACAAGCAAGTCCTACCTGTAGGAGTAACCAACGCTTCGAAGTTGGACGGCCTTCATGATAGGGAGGGCCCTAAGCTGCGGCGAGACTTTACTTTCGATAAAGAGCTTTGGTTGCTGCTGGTCGTTTGGTTTTATGCAGCGAATAAAGTGGGGCTCTGTCTCCTGCAGGCAAGCACAAAAAAAGAATCAGGGTTTAGGGCCTAGAGCTACGAGTCAGGAGTCAGGGTTTAAGCCATAGCGCTTAAGCATTAGGCTTAACATTAAAGGAAAAGGAAGAAGTGCACTTGAAGATGCGCAAAAACGCAGCAGCAGAAATGTAAGTATCGCTAGCAGCAGCAAAACGGCGCCACTAGGAGCAGAAGCTTGGAAAGCAACATTCTACCAGCAGGAGCACTATTGTCAGCACCAGCGTTAGCAACACCACTGTTGCAAGCACTAATCAATCACAGCAGCAGCAGCACCATCACCACAAGAAAGAGCAGCAGTAGCATCAACAACAGCAACCTCACCGCTATGCATCAATGGCAACAGCAGAGACATAATCAGCAGCAGCACGACTGCGGCCTCCAGTAACACTAGCAGCAGCATCACCGTTAGCAGCAGCACCGTTAACACTAGCACCATCAGCAACAGCACCCCCAGCAGCAGCAGCGGCCGAATCTCCACCGCCATTAACAATGGCAGCGGCGGCAGCAGCAGTACCTGGATGGTCGTTGCTAGGTTTTTAAGCTGCTGCATGAATTGAGACCCGATAAGTTGTCCTTTCATAAGTTTGCCTTTTGGAATTTCCACAACTTGATACAGTTGAGAAGCAACTAAGCGCAAACGCATCACCGACAAAGCAAATACATATTTCTTGCTGCTGCCATGTTCTTAACGCGTTCATTTCTTGGCTTTGCTTGTAGTCTTTCCTGCTTTGCGTTTTAGCTTTGAGGTTCACACTTTTTATTCGAATTTCATGCAAAACCATTTGTGCTCGGATATGTTTCGCATCAGCGGCCTACTCTCCAATCTGCGCTAGGACTTGCAGTTTCGTTCTATGGATTTGCTTGTTTGCTGATTGCCGCGGGTAAACAGACTAAAAAGGCACTGGCTCCGTTAAAACGACAAATGGGCATACAAAACGTAGCATTTAACAAGGAATCAACTGGCAAAGCTAAGTCTCCTCATGCACATGGTGAAACGCTGTGCAGGCTGTGACTTGAATCGTGCTTGGGAGAGCTGGGAAAGCAGGCAGCAACAGCGCGAAAGACAGAAGAATAAACGCACGATAAATAGCGAAATGGGGTTTTAAAAAGAAAAGCGCAGAGCAGGAACCCGTCGGTGAATGGATAGAGACATGGCTACGGCAACAGCAACTCCTGGCACATGCAAACAACAGCAGCAGCCCGCTAAATCTCACCCGGGCTTTTGGAGGCACTAAACAGACCCACAAACTCAGGCCGCAGCTGGCCTCTGTTTTTATTTATGAAGTTGAAAGTCATGTAAGAAAAGTCTCCTATGCAGTGCCGCACCGTAAACTCCAGGTCAGAAGAAGGCCGGAGAAAACCCTTGTTCCCCGACTCTAGAAGACACGAAAGATACAAAGAAATGCAAAAGAAACGTAGTTAAATCAAACCAAACAGAGGTCTCCCTCGAAAAACACAAAGGATTCATGAATACAAGAATGCACCTTTCACGAACCTAATCGAAGGGCGCCTTTTCTAAAGGATTTAAGAAGCAGATGTAGTTCTTGCCACTGATGGAGACAAATAAATATATTGACTTACAAGTGTTAATCAACAGATATATATGCATGTGCAGATGCTCGCATAGTTTAACCAGCACAGTGTAAGGGCTTATGAAAAGAAGATGAAGTGTAGGAAATGCCTATACGTGCATATGCGCGTGCATATTCTAGGTAATGTTTTTCTAAACCCTAAGCCCGGAACTCGAAACCCTAAAACCTGAAGTATAAATCCTAGACCCTGCAACTTACACATAATTTGCGCCTTAACTGCCGCAGTGAACCTTAACTGCCGCAGTGAACTTGGCGTCTGAGGTAGCCGGGCCCAGGCAGCAGTCCTCTAGAATGCTCAAAATTGAGTTTTTCCTTTCCGCAAAGCAAATCAACAATTGGCTGAGTGCTCTCGAACTGCAGCAGCTCTGAAGTCAATCCCTCTTTCTCATACAACAGGCATTCCTGAAACGCACAGGCATTGGGGTTTAGGGTTTAACGCTTGCCGAGTGTGCTTCTGGGGTGCAGCGAGAGCCCACATGGCCACAAACAATTCATCGCTTCCGGGTAAGGGTAACAATTTAGCGCCTAGGGGTAAGGGTTTAGGGCCGAGGGTTTAGCATTTAGGGTTTAGTGTTTAGGTTTGAAGATTTAGGGATAAGGGTGTATGACACAAGATTTAGGGTTTAGAGCTTAGCGTTTAAGATGCTACCTTTGCGAATACTAGGTCTATAAACGTGGCCTGCAGCATCTCGTTGAGCACATTGATGAAAAACTGTTCAAACGAGTTTTATTTGAAAATTTCAAAGCCGAATAGGTCGAGCAGGCCTGCGGAAGAAAAGATCTGCAAAAAGAATCCAATTACTTTCTTTGTTTGTTCATTTGTCTATCAACCCAGCGGCCCGCGCCGCGGTTTGCAAGCTATTGGAAAATGAAATGCGTTTTTGCAGATAAATGAATAATTGAGGTTGCATGGTGCCAAAACGCCCCATAAAATATTTGCTTGCAAGTGAAAATTAAAGCAAATGCAGTTGAGTCTTAGTTTCCAAAGGGAATTAAATGAAGGCATCTGAATCTACGCTTGTACAAAAGGATGCAGCCCTGCACACTGCAAAAATGCCGGGTAACAGCGAGAAGCAAATCATGCATTAAAAGCCTGCGATGTCCTTCTAGGGTCTGAACATAAATATTTAGAAGTATTCAAATGCACGTATAGAAAAAAAGCATATGGAGAAATACATGAATGTTTGCACATACATGTATGTTTGCATCTACACGTGGTGGAATACATGCATACGTCCATATAATCTCGCCTACATTGCCGCTTGCGCCGTTAACTACCTTTAAAGTCTTCCTCTGGCAGGCTAGCTGGCTGATTAGCTAGCTGGTTATCTGGCTGGCTAGCTTGCTGGCTGGCTCGCTAGCAGGCTGCCTAGCTTGTTTGCTGGCTAGCTTGTTTGCAGGCCAAATATCTCGCTAGCTGCTGGCATGCTGGTTGGCCGCTCCTTAGATGGCTAGCTGGCTAGCTGGCTAGCTCGCTATCTGGCTAGCTGGCAATCCGGCTATCTGTCCAGCTGGCTAGGCTAGCTGGCTAGCTGGGTGCGCGCCGATGAAGGTGTCGAGGCTTTGTTGTTTGTTGATGTTTTTGCTGATTTGCTTGTTGATCCAGAGAAAAAGCCGCTCGTAAACGCCCTTGCACAGAGACTGCTGCAGTAGCTCCGCCTGCTGCTTCCGCCACCACCCAGCCACCGCCTGCGCCCCCTCCACTGTCACCCGCCGCAGCAGCGCCTCTGGAATGAACTTAGTCTGAAGCCCCAAACGTGAATTAATATTACTTTCCACTCAGTTAAAAAGTGCAGGTTCTTACTTTTTAGTGCTTCTTCATGTATGTGTATATATATGTGTACATCCTTTTAGATCTGTTGAGGGCAGCAGCGGTTATACAAGCCTGGCTTCCTATATCAGATTTGTGCCAAACCCGACTTGTTTTTTAACAGAATGCTGCGCAGAATGTGGAGAACAGTTCCTTGTGCGGTGCCAAATTTGAGCTTTTCGAGGCTGTTTTTGGAGCACTCCACAAGCCCTTTCATACTACAGCCCAAAAGCCAGCCGGCCACTGCCGCGGGCCACACGGATGTTTATGGCGACACTGCTGCTGCAAAGCCACTCTAGCTGCTTCTGCCTGGTCCGTTCTGCTTCTGCCTGGCCCGTTCTATTTTCTGTGTGTGATCTTCTGCCCAATGCATCCAACCTGCGTGTTCCTCGTACCGAATTTTTTAACTGTGGCTCAGTGTTTTCACCACCTGCCACAAAAAAACCGGCAACATCACCAAGCAACATCACCATGCAGCAGCAGCAATCAAAAATAGCAAGCAGCACCACCGATCAACAGCACCAGGCAGGAACTCCAAGCAACACCACTAGCAGTAAACAGCACCATCACGCAGCAGCAGCTGCAGAAACCAACAACCTGCAGCTGCAGCAAATATTTTGGTGTATCCGCTGCTGCCTCTTGAGCAGCCTTCTTGCCTCAGCACCCCACATCCTCCATTATTCTGCAGCTCCCCTCCGCAGCTCAGTTTCGTGGCCTTCAGACGTTTTCAAATTCCTGGCAAGCCGAGGCTGCAGCGGCTGCTGCTGCAGCTGCTGCTGCGCTTGCTAGCTGATGTGCAAAAGCCCAAGCTCGCTACTGCGCATATTACGAGAATCTTAAACTCCTTCCCTGTCTCTTCCTTCCCACAGGGATGACACCTTTTTTTCCGCAAATCAAACGTCTTATCAGCACCACAGAAGTCGCCCAATTTGCAAATCACTCTCCAGCAGCATGTGCAGCCAGCAACAGCGGCACCAGCAACCAGCAGGTGCAGCACCACCGGCGACCAGCAGCAGCAGTGCCAGCAACCACCAGCGGCAGCGCCAGTAACCAGCAGCAACTGCGAGCATCTGCAAGCAAGAACAAGCAAAGACACAAGCCCATGGCAGCACGCCTCGGCAGCAGCAAGCAGCAGCATACGCAGCGGCAGCAAGTTTCAGGTAGCAGCAAGGAACAGCGCCAGCAAGAAGCAGCAGCCGCAAACAGCAGCAACAAGCGGCTGCAGCAGCAAGCTGTAGCAGCAGCAAGCAGCAGCAAGCAGCAGCAGTAGCATGCAGTAACGGGAAGCAGGATCTCCAGGCAAGAGCAGCGGCAAGCAGCAGCAACAGCAAGCAGCAGTTACATTCAGAAGCAGCAAACAGCAGCAGCACGCTGCAGCAGCATGCTCCAGCAGCAAATTGCATCAGAAAAGTGCCCCTAGTGGCTAGCCGATTTGTCCTCCTCCCTCCTCAACTGAAGAGGTAGCTCCTCCCCTGTCCTGTACACCTTTCGGTTTTCGCCTCATCGCCTGAAGCAGCTGGAGGGCTGGGGAGAAACTCCCATGCAACGAAAAGCAATTGAATGCAGCAGGTGTTGCAAGTTTTCCTAGTGGCCCCCAACGTAGGCAGACTTCCTCTCCTAAGAAGACAGCTCTTAATAATGGAAAGACCGTTGCTGCTACTGTTGCAGTGGTGCTGCTGATTCTGCTGGTGAAATTGCGCCTTGTGCCGGCTTTCTATGGTTTGGTCTCTGCGATTGCTGAAGAGTTATATCTTTTGGAAAACTTTGGGATTGCTGGTTACAGACGAAGCGTGGTGACCCAAACCCGAAGCTAAAAACTGCAAGGCCATGCTGTGGGTTTTACTGCCCTGTCTTAACATTGTCTTCTGATTCCTATCAAATGCTATGAAGACAGGCGGTATTAGACAAAGCGGAAGCAGCAACAACAAACGTTAACCAAGCAACGTGCCTCAGTGGGCATGCATCAGCGCTCATTTAAACTTCCTCCCCGCATTCTTCTTGCAGAGCCATTTCCCCGCGTTTATATCCTTCAAGGACTGATGGGGGTTTATTACTCCGGCTTTTACAAGTACACTATCGGGTACTATGAATGCCCTTCAATAATCGTGCATTCGAGACTTTGTTTTACAATTGGGTAATACGCTTGCTTTACTGATGCTCAGTAACGACAGGCAGTTGAAACGATGCGTAAACAAGTTAATTCAAAGTCCTCAAAAAGCTTTTCCGTGGCTCGCTACTCAGTTACAAAGTACGAGTTCTTATTTTTTAGTATCCCATGGTGTATATTTTTGTCCAGGTGTGCACGAGTCGCGTGCGTGTATTCATATGTATGTACTTGTTTCCGGGTAGCATTTATTTGCCGCTCTAGACACAAGCAGTGAAGTCCACAGCTCCGCTGCTGTTGCTGCTGCTGATGCTGCCGCAGTAAGTAGTACACGCAGGCAAGCAGCAGCAGCGACAAAGCAACAGCAGTACTCGTAGCGCTGGAGGGTGCCGGCCACAGCTGTTCCATTTTGGTTTTGTGTCAGCTCTTTATAGTCTTTGCAGGTTAGTAGCTACATATTGAGGCACACTTAATTGCAGTGTTTTTGGACATCTGAAGGATTACACGTGGGCTGCTGCTGCTACTGCTGCTGCTACTTTGTGCCCGGCCCAGCTGCCCTAGTCGCTCACTGGCCCGCGTTTGGTTGCGGCATGCGTTTTAAATTTCGTTGATCTGCTCCTCATCATTTAGTCGGCTTCATTTTTTGAACCAACAGGGTCCAGCATTTTTTTGCAGCAGCAGCTGCTGCTGCTGCTGCTGCTGCTGCTGCTGCTGCTGAAACTTGTACATGGACCCCACAGAGCGGGGGCTTCCTGCGGCTCTTCTTCTGCTGTTTCTACTCTTTCAGTTGTTCAGTTTTTTTACTTCTTTTAAATTCGCTTTGGCGTCGCCTTGGCTGCGAGAAACAGACGTGAAGGCAGCCTAGGCGCGGCAGTAGCTTGAGAGTCTCGCTGCTGCTACGGCTGTAGCGCTGCTGCTGCAGCTGCTGCTGTTGCTGCTGCTTCCTGCGCAGCGCGACCGTGACCTTCGGCCCCATATTCTTATGCGGAATTATTTTTCGTCCTGGATGGGCTGCGTTTTCTTCTTTAGTGTAGGCCTAACCCCCCCTCACTTCAGTGGCGGCCCCTCCCTCGCGGCCCCCGCGCTCCAGCGTGGCACTGTATTGGTGCTGCCTCGAGCTGGCTAGCTACGGCAGCAAGTGCATATCTTGCTTTCCCTGCTGCTGCTGTCTGTCTCCTGCTGCAGCAACAAGATGGCAATACGTAAGTAGACGCTGGAGGGCTCACAGGAGGTTTCGGGGGGGCCCTTGCAGGGGCCCTCGGGCGTGGGCCCAGCAGTTCAGGGGCCCCCGGGGGCCCCTCCGCGTTTCCTGTCGTGCAGCGGGGGCCTTGCAGCTGCTAGCGTCCCCAAATGGATCATCTTCGAGCCGCAAGGGCCCGCTGTGGCCTTCGCGTGTCTGGGGCGGCGCCGCGTGCGGCCAGGGCCGAGGGTTTAGGGTTCAGGGTTTAGGGTTTGGGCGCGCAGGCACGCACTTCGAATCCTCCAACGAAGTCGGGGTCTTCGGCAAACTCACTAACTCCTACTGCCTCGTGGCCTCAGGCGGCAGCGAGCATTTCTATTCCGCCATTGAGGCCGAGCTGGGGCCCCACATTCCAGTTGTCCACGCCTCAGTCGCCGGCACCGCAGTCATCGGCAGAGTCTGCGTGGGTGAGCCCCTGCTGCTGCTGTTGCTGTTGCTGCTGCTGCTGCAGCTGCAAATGCTCTGCGTTTTTGGTGCTGAAGGGAACAGCAAGCGAAAGTCTTCTGTATCTTCTAAACTGTCTTTTTTGCCTTTTAAAGCCCCATTTTTTGGCCTGAAAAATCCATTTACGCCATATAAATTACTCTAATTGATCCTGTTATCCTTGAGAACGTATATTTGTCGTTCAATGCACAATTTGCAAGCTAATGCATGCGTTTGGCGCGAAGGGAACAAGCACGGGCTGCTGGTGCCGTCGAGCACGAGCGACGGGGAGCTGCAGCAGCTGCGGAACTCGCTGCCCGACGGGGTGTCTGTACGCCGCGTGGAGGAGCGGCTGTCCGCCCTGGGCAACTGCGTAGCAGCAAATGACTACACGGCGCTGGTGCATGCAGACCTGGACGCGGAAACTGCGGAAATTATCCAAGATGTTCTCCAGGTTTGAGCTGCTGCTGCTGCTGCTCCTGCTGCTGAGGGGGTGGTGCTGCTGATGGGGGTGCTGGGGGTGGTTTTGGCGCTGTGGGGGCGGTGGCTCGCGTTTTGCTGCTGCTGCTGGTCCGGCTGGGGCTCTCGCACTGCTCCTGCTGCTGCTGCTGCTGCGGTTGGCGCAGGGGTATCACTGCTGCTGCTACTGTTGGTGCTGTTGCCGCTGTTATTCTTCTTTGTGCTGCTGCCGTTGGGGCTGCTGCTGCTGTTACTGCTGCTATTGCTGCTGCGTCTGCTTCGTGCGCTGTTGGCTGCTGATTTAGTACTATCTTTTTGTGTGTCTTGTTATCTCCTTTGCTGCCTTTCTTGCTGCTGTGTCTCCAGTGGTCCATTCCATCTGTCTCTTGTTTGCTTCATGTCTCCAGTGGTCCATTTCATTTGTCTGTCTGTTTGCTGCTTGCTGCTCTTTGATATGCCCGAGACAAGGCAGCCCTTTGTAGTGCCCATTCACAGCTGCTGCTGCTGCTGCTGCTGCTGCTGGTTGCTGCTCAGGTGGAAGTGTTTAGGACTATTATAGGGGGACAGTTGCTCGTGGGCACCTACTGCGTTTTGACGAACCAAGGAGCCCTCGTGAGTCGACACGGGGGTTTAGGGTTTAGGGTTTAGTGTTTGGGGTTAAGGGTTCTTCAAGGCCCGAGGCTTTCGGGTGCACCAGCAGGGTTTTCAGCTCACCTTGTACAGGGAGCGGAGGCCGCCGGCTGGGTTTAGGGTTTGTTAAGGGTTTAGGGTTTAGGGTTTAAGGTTTGTGCGCAGGTGCATTCACGGACGCCCATAGAAGAAATGGAGGATTTGTCACAGTTGGTGCAAGTGCCCTTCACTGCAGGGACTGTTAACAGAGGCTCTGACCTTCTCGGTGCAGGTGCGCCTGCAGCAACCCCAAAACCCTAAACCCTAAACCCTACACTGTAAACCCGAGAGCCTGAAGAGCCTGTCTGGGCACTGTGAAGCATGGATGTAGGGGCATTAACATAAATGTTGCACCACCTCCTCACAGGTGCTGCTGCCGCGCGTGCACTCATGTAGCTGCTGTTGCTGCTGCTGCTGCTGCTGCTGCTGTTTAGGGCTGATGGTGAATGACTGGGTGGGTTTCTGCGGCATGGAAACCACCGCTACAGAGCTGGCTGTGGTGGAGCGGATTTTCAAATTGGCCAACGCCGAGCACCAGCAGCTGTCTCTTAGAGAAGATCTCAAGTTGAGGACTTCTTTAGTTGACTATCTTAGCTAGCGCGTTGCTGCTGCTGCAGCGGCTGCGGCAGCAGCTGCTGCAGTGGCAGCTCCAGCGGCTGCTGCGGCGAGTGGCGGCGTCTGCAGCCGCTGCGCCTCGAGCTTTGGCTGCAGCAGAGCGCTAGCTGCTGCTGTGGCCTGTGCTGCTGCAGCAACAGCTGCAGCAGCGCCGCGTCAGAGGATCGACAGCAGCAAAGAGGGGACCGTACAGTTCTTAGCACTTTACTGAGGGGCCCGTCAGATCAGCATGGGGCCCCCTGGAGCAGAGCGTCCTTCAGGGGCCCCCCTGGGGCCCCCGAGGAAGCCGAAAGGCATAAGGCAGCCTCTGCCTTGAGGTTAAAAGCCCTATGGGGCTTTTAGCCCCCGAGGGGTCTGCATGCATGCAGCCCCTTTTGAGGGGCCAAGGGCCCGTCCACTAGAGGGGCCTCTCTGGCGTCTTGGGGCTGCTGGCCATTTTCCGTGGGCCCTCCAGTAGCGTGCATGCGGCTTGGGCTTGTGTTTGTCTCCCAGAGGGGCCCCGTGGGGGCCCCTCTGGGGGGCTCGTGTCAGCCCTCCACAGGGGCCCTCTGGGGGCCCCCATGGGGGCCCTTGGCCTCGTGGGGCCCCGCGCGGGGGCCCCACAAAAGCTAGAGATCTGGAGTGCAGAGGGGACAGTGTCTTGTGTGTGTACTGCTACCAGTCTCTTGTTGGTTCCGTTTTGGCTGCTGTCTGTCTCCTGGCAAGCAACTCGGGGGGCCCCTGGGGGACCCGTCGGAGCTCGGGGGGCCCCCGGGGGGCCCCCCAAAGCTCGGGGGGCCCTTCGGGGCCCGTTTGTGCCAGAAAGCAACAGACCGGATACGTGTTAGGTGGCTGCAGGTAGAGAGTCTTAGAGAAGCAAAGAGTCTTTAAGATGCAGAGAGTATTAAAAAGAGCAAATAGTCATTAAGAAGCAGAGAGGGCTGTTGGCCCCGTGTAGGTTTAGCTTGTGTCTTGTTGGACCTGCTGGTGCTGCTGCTGCACCTGCTGCTGCTGCTGCTGTTGCTGCTGGCCTGCAGGGACTCTGTGCATTGCTGCGGAGACAATTGCCTTTGGGGACAGCCACTGAGAGAATTAAAAAGAGACAAAAGACTTTTAGGCAGATGGAAATGTTCAGCCAGAAAAAGAGGGACCTAAGCAGGGGATAGACACCCAGCAGGGCCTCCGCAACAGCAGCAGCTGCTGCTGCTGCGGCTGCTATTCGCCACTATCTGAAGGAGACCCTACGCCCCTCGTGACTATAAGGGGACGCTTCGAATGTCGGGTCAGGCGCAGCCGCTGCAGCGGGCAGCTGCAGCAGGTGCTGCAACGTGCAGCTGCAGCGCGCAGCTGCAACCAGCAGGTGCAGCACTTCTGCTGCAGCCGCGCGCAGCTGCAGCAGCTGCAGCAGCTGCAGTACTGCAGCACGGGCCGGCCCGCAGCATTGCAGCAGGGGCAGGCCTGCTGCAGCTGTGTGCTGCACTGTAACAGCGGCCGCCCTGCTGCAGCTGGTTGCTCCAGTGCAGCGCGAGCCGCCCTGCTGCAGCTGCTTGCTCCAATGCAGCACCGACCGCCCTGCTGCAGCTGTTTGCTGCATCTGTTTGCTGCAGCTGTTTGCTGCAGCTGTTTGCTGCAGCTGTTTGCTGCATCTGTTTGCTGCAGCTGTTTGCTGCAGCTGTTTGCTGCAGCTGTTTGCTGCAGCTGTTTGCTGCATCTGTTTGCTGCAGCTGTTTGCTGCAGCTGTTTGCTGCAGCTGTTTGCTGCAGCTGTTTGCTGCAGCTGTTTGCTGCAGCTGTTTGCTGCAGCTGTTTGCTGCAGCTGTTTGCTGCAGCTGTTTGCTGCAGCTGTTTGCTGCAGCTGTTTGCTGCAGCTGTTTGCTGCAGCTGTTTGCTGCAGCTGTTTGCTGCAGCTGTTTGCTGCAGCTGTTTGCTGCAGCTGTTTGCTGCAACTGCGGACTCAGTCGTCGGTGAAGCCCGTGACCCAGCCTATGGGCACTCTCTGGGCCATGAAGTCCTCTAAGACCCAATCTGGGGGCATTTCGAGGCCCTTGTGTTTGAGGGGGAACTTGGGGAGGCCCTCCCCGTCGCCTCTTTCTTGCAGCTGCTTCCCAGTTTCAATATCTTCTTTCAATTGCAAAGTTGCTTGGTATTCCTTTTCTCTTTCTATCCGCAGCGTCGGGCTCCGCTGCACCAACTCGTCCTCCAGTTCTTCTTCATCCAGCAGCCGCTCCAGTTCTTCCCCGCTCGGCAGCGGGGGCCCCTCGGGGGGCCCCTGCGCCTTGGGGTGCCCCTCTGGCTCGGCTGGGGCCCCTGCTGGGGGGGCCTGGGGGGCCCACTCAGCGGCTGTGGGGGCCCCCGACGGCGGCGTCCAGGGGCCCGGGGCCCCCGCTGCAGGGGCCCCTGGGGCCCCTGGGGCTCCTGGGGCTCCTGGGGACCCTGGGACTCCTGGGGCCCCTAGGGCTCCTGGGGCCCCTGGGGCCCCTGGAGCTGCGGGGGCAGGCTGGCCTGGTGGGGGGCCCCTGGGGGTCCCGAAGAGCTCCCTGCGGGCCATGAGCTGCTCTTTGACGGGGCTGTACTGCCTCAAAATGTCCTTCCTGAAAAAGGTCTTGTGGCGGTCAATTGTTCTTGCGAGAGAATCCTTATAAGGGTTCCATGGCACTCCAATGTACCTGCAGCGCAGCAGCAGCAACAGCGAAAACACATGCAGCCCCGGGGCCCCACAGCCCACAGCAGCAACTCCAGGCTGCTGCTGCATGCGCTGCAGTCTTTGGGGCTTTCCCTCTTCTGTCTCTCTCTCCTTTCCTCCTCAGAGACAGAGACACAAACAGAAAAGAATGAAGACAAGAAAATATGGACTCTGCGTCTGTCTCATCTTTTATCTTTCTGTCTGTCGGGTTTTCTGTCTCTGCCTCTGTCCCTGAGTCTACATCATTTTTACGTTTATCTATTTCCCTTTGTCTCTGTCTCCTTATCTTTCTTTCTCCTTATCTTTCTTTCTCCTAATGTGTCTTTATCTTTTCCTCAGTCTCTTTCTTTGTTTGTGTTTATTTCTTTCTGTCTCAGTCTTTTTCTTTTACTGTCTATCTTTTTTGTCTTATTCTCTCTTTTCTCTTTTTTGTCTGTCTCTCATTCCTTTCTGTCGAGTCTGTCTTCCCTCACCTGTGTTTGTCTTTGTACATATCTGGGTCTTCGAATTCTTCTTCTGCGTTCCCATCTCTTGACTCTTTGCAATTATTCAAAAGAGCTTTTTTCACAGAGACAGCAAGTCCTTTCACTCTATCAAGGGCCTCTAAAAAGGCCTCTCGAGGCGTTGCAGATCCATCCGTATGAATCTCTATTGTCACAACTTCTCCCAGCGTCTCATACGGGAACGGGGGGGCCCCTCCCTGGGGGGCACCCCCACCGGGGGCCCCCTCTCGGGGGGCCCCAGCCCCCTCTGCAGGCCCAGGGGACCCCGGGGCCCCAGGGGTGCCCACCACCTCTTCAAGAGCCGGTGATGCCACCTGTGGGGACGCAGACGCCACTGGGCCCTCCTCGGGGGGCCCCTGCTGCGGCTGGAGGGGGGCCCCCGGGGGCCCCCCGTCAGGGGGGGACCCCGCAGGGCCCCTGGGGGGCCCCCCGAGGGCCCTACGGCGTGGGAGGCACTTGGCGAGATCCGTGAAAACGGGGTCGTCGCGCCTGTCTCTGCCAAATCTTTGCTGCTGCGCCTCCGCGTAAGAAGCAGCAGAATAGTAAGCCAAAGAACGGGAATGAGCCTCCGGAGAAGCAGCAGAAGAGATAGTCTCGGGGACTCTGTGGGCCTCGAAGCCAAAGGCCTGGACTGGGGCGCAGTAGCTGGCGAAGTAGAAGAATCCGTCTTTGTCGATATCTCTGTTGAGGCTGTCGTAGCCGAACTCCGGCAACACGTACTCTTCTATTTCTTCTATTTTCACTTTCAAGTTCAAATAATAATTCGCATTCATTGTGCACAAATACTGACTTTTGTTCACCACTTCCAACTCCTCTGGCAGCACCAAGTCCCCAGCAACAGCAGCTATGGGGCCCTTCACAGACAAAGAGGCCACCCACGGATTTTCAAACGAGCCCAAGGGGGCCCCCCCACCGGGGGCCGCCCCCTCCCTGGGGCCCCCCCCCTCCCCAAGGGGGCCCCCCTCGGTGAGGGGGGTCCCCTGGTCGAGGGGGGAGGCCCCCGATTTGGTCTTTTTCTTCTTTTTCCTCCGAAATACTATTTGTCGCAAGTTTTCCACTAGGTCCTCCACATCTTCTCGCATGCCAATAACACACATGCCAACTTCGACGGGGAGGCGGGTCATGAAGGCGGAGGGGCTGATGCCCTTGAGGCGCTGCTGCTGCTGCTGCTGCAGCTGCTGCTGCAGCTGCTGCAGCTGCTGCTGCTGCTGCGGGTCCTGCTGCTGCTGCAGCAACGTCGCGGGCAGCTGGCTCGGCCCCGGGGGCTGCAGCGGAGGCGCGTCCACGTAAGAATCCAAGTTTTCTATTTTTAAAGCTGTCACTGCGGGTCTCGGAAGAGTAAAAGTTTCTCTTCTGCATGCATTTATAAAAGGAACAAATGGGGCTGAGTGTGGGGAGTGAAAATAAAAGAAAGAACTGATGCCGCTGCGGTGGGCCACGGGGGGCGTTATTTGCTTCAGCCGGAAGCCGCTGCACGCGGGGCCGTACACCTCCCCAGCAGCAGCGGCAGCAGCAGCAGCCCAACGCTCACGCTCCTGCTGCTGCTCCTGCTGCTGCTGCTGCCGCTGCAGAGGGCTGATGCTCCTCCCCGGCGGAGGCAAAGGCGTCTCCTCGAAAGTCCCTGTTGCAGCGTCGTAGTGAACCTCGCTGCAGCTCACCTGCCCCTGTGTTTCCTCCTGCAGCAGCAGCAGCAGCAGCAGCAAAGGTAAACCCGATATAATCCTAAGCACTCCAGCTCTATGCGTAAACAAGAAATAACGGCGAGAGACCGTTCAGAAGCGGAGAAGACAAAAGGAAAAACAGAAACAAAAGAGAAAACAGAAAAGGGAGATAAAGCGAAGATAGAAAAAATAGAAAAAAGAGAAAAGGGAAAAATGAGACAAAAAAGCAAAAGCAAAAGGAAACAAAAAAGCAAAGAGAGACAAAAAAGCAAAAGGGGACCAGAAAAACAAAAGGACGCGAAGAAAAAAACGAAGGGAGATAGAAAAAGTAAAGGGAGGCAAAAGAGACAGAAGAGAAAAACATAAAAGAGAGATACAAGGGAAAAGTAAAAACAACAAATCCAAGGAGAAAGAAGTAAAAAAAGACAAACGATAAAACAAAATCAGACAAAAGGGACAAAAGAGAAAGGCGAAAAAGGGACAGAAAGAAAATAGAGGAAAAAAGAAAAAATAAAAGAGAAAAATAAAATAAAATAAAATAAAAATAAAATAAAAACTAACAACATATTTCTCAAAGAAGGGCCCATAAGTCCTGTAGTCGTAGTGAAGAGCCGCAGGGGCCTCGACGCGTTCGCTGTCTACAGAGAAGGCCCCTGAGACGCCCGCAGCCACGCAGCAAAACCCTAAACCCTAAACCCTAAACCCTAGGCTTGGAGTTTCGCGAGGCAGGCGAGGCTTCAAACCCTGGGTCTCCCGAAACCCTCAGCCACAGACTTTAACCTCTAACCCTACGGTTTGACAACCCGCCCCAAACCCTAAACCCTAAACCCTAAACCCTAGGCCCTGACCCCCAAGCAAAACTCTCCGCTTCACAGCGCTGCAGCAACGGCTTTGCTGCGCAGCAGCCAAACGGCAGCAAAATGCGTCAAAACGCGCCAAAGGGAAAGACAAGAAGCGACGAAAAAAGACTAAAAAAGTAAGAAACAACGCCAGCAGCAGCAAAAAGAGACAAAACAGAGTCCAAAAAAGGAAAAAGAAAGCAAAAGAAGACAAAAGCGAATCAAAAGGAGCAAACTTGAGTCCAAATGAGTCCAAAAGAAATCAAAAAGAGCCAAAAATTCTCGAAAAGAGTCAAAAAGGACTCAAAAGGATCCAAAAGTTAGCCAAAGAAGCCAACAGGGGCCCCTAGTGCTGCTTACACTTGGGGGCCCCCAGTACCCTCAGCTTCTCCTGCTGCTGTGCCCTCACAGCCTTTTGCTGCGCCTCCGCCAGTCTGTGCGTCTCAGCCAATCTTTCCAGCCAACGCCTTTCTACAAACTTCCTCTCCGCCTCCACTGCAGCCTCCACTGCCTCCTTCTCTTGCCCCAGCACATTCCAAAGGGGGCCCCCCTGGCCCAGGGCCCCCACGCCTGCCCGGGGGGCCCCCAAAGTCCCGGGGGGCCCCCCGGGGGGGGCCCCCAGCGTCCCGGGGGCCCCCCAGGGGGGGCCCCCCGGGGGCCCCGCGGGACTCGGGAGGAGCCCAGAGGGGGCCCCTGACAACCCTAGGGTCACTGGGGGGCCCCCAGAGGGGCCCCCAGGGGACCCCTTGGGAGTTGGGGGGCCCCCCGGGGTGCCCCCGGGGGCCTCCGTGGGCAAATGCCCTAGGCCACGGGGGGGCAAGTTTGAGGGCGGGTCTTCCAGAGAAGGATAAGGCCTTTTAAGGAGACTGTCTCCAGGAAGATCAGCTTCGAAAAAGTGATAGGCGCGAGTGCCATGTGCTGCTGCTGCT